TCACATGCCACGAGACGCTACTGTTATGGTTCTGTCTGTTGCTTGCTGACACTGTCAAGACAAATCAAAACCCTTTTCTTTGCAGTCTCAGATGTAAGGTCTCTGGTACCTTTGAATTTTGTAGTTTTATAAATGTTGGAAGTGTGACAATTTGATTCCAGGCCTTGACAGTTTTAATCATAGGAAAAAGTAGTCATTACTGAGAAGAGCAAATGAGTGTGTTTACAGAAATGTCCTTAATTTGACTGGACCATGTAAAAAACGGGGGTGTGCAGGAGCTGATTACACATCAGTTCACGTGAACCAGTACTTAAAAATTAAAAAATATGAAAAAATAATCAACACATTCAGGGGTACAAGTTGAATGTTAAAGAGAAACTGTTTTCTCAATTTTGGGAAATAAGCCAATAGAAAACTGACAATTAATAGTTTGATGAGAGAATCATTAAGGTAATTAACTTTGACAGTACACCCCTGTAAATAAGCTGAGTGAACAGTGTATATAACAGAGCTATGAACTGCCACCAAGACATGGCTGTGTATATGATGAAACAACCCTGGCTGAAACTTCAAAAGGTAAGAAAAGAGTTAATGGAGAAGATCAGATCAAGAGGGCTTTCTGACACATGGTGTTCTTACAGTTTATGGCCTCTTTTATTGATTTAGTCATAGAATAATTTTAGGGTCACAGTTTGAAGTGTCACCATATGCACGGGTGAGGTTCTTAACCTTAGTAGAAGATTGAGAGAGATGTTCAAGTGGCTTTGTCTGGTATGGGGGGAAGACACAGGTTCTCATTGGACATGGGGGTGGATCCATCCCTGGTGGATATGGTGGTGAAGAGGATCTCTCCCCCTGCGAAGAATTGAGTGCCGTTTGAAATTTGTTGTGAATTCTTATGTTTTCGAGGTAGTGGCTAAGTAAAGCAAAAATTTCATAGGCTAGGAATATTTCTTGGTTAGAATTACAGTGATACCTTGATTTTGTGCTTTCGAAGGACCGCCTAAAATGAATAAATATTGGGCAAGGCGTAAAATCAGAGAAATGAAAGTGGATACAACATAAATTAAAATTTGTTGGCTTTATGTTGGAAAGTATACATGTTTGAACACAATAACAATGTGAATGTAGTTACAGTAACCTAGATGCCAGCCAGACCAAGTAATTTCTTTATTCTTTTGGTATTTCTGCAGAATTGCAGATATTGTCTATATGTACCAATAGGAAGTCTGCCTATTTATGATGAGTCTGGAAGTTTTATGATGCAGAACAGTTGGTCAAGAATAGGCCTGCCTGCCAGCAGTATTTCAAGCTGTAGAGATTCACAACTAGTGAATGGTTGAATTCTTGTAATACTCCATTTCTTCATCAATGGCGGTTCTTGTATTGCTTTGAATCAGTGCACATTGTTTTCCTACTTGAAACCAGTTCTCGAGACAACTGCTTTGTTGACAATGTACACAAGCAAATGAGTGTTGATCGTCAAATATGTAACATTANTCCATTTCTTCATCAATGGCGGTTCTTGTATTGCTTTGAATCAGTGTTCATTGTTTATTACAAGAGAAAATATTTGAATTTCAGTACATGGCCTAATGGGACTTGTAAGCACTGAAGAAACTGAAAAAGTGAACAGTGGCTATATGTAGGTTGTTCAGTGAATTAGTACTGAAGGCAGGTGGTGGAAGAAATGTAATATGGATGTGACCATATGCATTTGAATCAGTGCTCTTAGATGGAATTGTGGTGCAGCATAATGGACACATGATAGTGGAGGGATAGTGCTAATAGAAAATGATGACACATCTCATGAGGAGGTTTGTCATGTGATCATGTGACAGTCTGTCTGCAACTGCAAGAAATATATGGCACTGATGTTATGGAGTTTGCAAGCTAATGTGTAGCACAGCATTAGACAGACAGCATTGTGGTGTGTGGAGGTACTAATGCCAGAGGACAGGTGGATGACTATCAGGATGTTGCAAGGGCAAACATCTTCATAGGTACCACACACATCACCCATGAAGTGCTAGAAATTCACAACCTGGATGGGTTCCAAAGTGATTAAGCACACTGCAGAATGGGACTTGGTCTCACATATGTACAGTGGTGCTTGAAGCACGTTTCTGTACAGGGAGTCTTAAGAGACTTGCTTTCCACATCCCAAATGATTGAGATGTGACCTGGAGGATAGGAACAGTTAAATGTGGACTGCTGTGTGGAGCTGACATGGATTGCTGGCGGGTAGAATTGTTCGTTCAGATGGCCAATTAATACTCTTAAATTAATTAAATTTGCAGTACCAGTTGGTTATATACATGCTCTTTGCAGTGTGGGGGTGGAACATTTTGCTTGTTCCTGTGGCAAATGTGTAGCCTTTCTGGAACATGGATATTTTTCTGTGATCAGGATGGAAGTCAAAAGCATATAGACAGTCTCATTTACACTCACACTTTGGGTAAGTGGTTGAGACTGTATTATGAGAATGTCCCTTGCATCGCCTACTGGCTGGATAAATCAACGTAATGCATTGACAGCAGAGTAGAACACAAGAAGATTCTGTTAGGGTCATTCCCTGATACAGTGGGAGCATTTGACATAGTGTTTGGCTTCCAGAAGACATGATTTGAACGCACTGAATGTAGATGCATCAGCTTCATGCTATATGACAGAGTTACAGGAGTCTCACTTTTGGGAGGTATGTTGGGCCTCCATATACAAGGGGGAGGTTTTTTCATTCCTGCTGTGGAGCCCCTGAGGTACAATATGAGGATGGTACTGCTGCCCTAGTAAATTGGAAATTGTTTCAGAAGTTTTCCAGATATATCTAAGAGACATGCAAGACTGTTGTGGCAGGCTTTGTCAGCTGAGGTCATGTAGAGTAGTGTCACATACCAAAGCAAGATTTGAAATGGTCATGGATGCAGCTCACTTTGATAAAAAATTACAACTGTCAGCTGAAGGTGATTGCAATGATATTGAATGAATTGATGGAAACTACAGTTGGACAAGTAACAAAAAAGCCTGCATGGCCTTCTAGACCTGTAGAGGCACTCTGAGTTGTACTGGATCTATGCTATGGCAGTAAGACCGATTGCTGTTTATTTTATAACCTTTTGATGTCAAGGGTTACACTGCAGACTAGCAGAGTGGATCTTTGTAAATTACGCAGGATATTACCTATTTAGATATAATTGAAACTCAGTACGACTCCAGTAGCTGCAGTTGAAACACCGCTGTGGCTCCCTGTATATCTTCTGTTTGAAGTAGAGGTTTTTGCCGGAATGCATAGACTTACCTCTACTGAACTAGGAAAGATTTATCTTAATGTGATAATTTTCTGTGTTTCATTCTGTGGACCTATTAGAGAACATCAGAGTATAAGAAATTGAGACCTAGTCGGTATATCGATCAATTTAGAACGAGAACAGTCTTGCAAGTGCACTACAAGGGTTCAGCTGAAGTATGTGGACACACTGCCATCCTCTGAACTTGTCAACTTGCTGGTGAAAGAGGGCTCTGAATTTCATTTGTAGGGCTTGACCCATCCTATGGCATCTCTGGTATACCTATCAACAACTGTTGGATACACTTGGAATATTGGGAATCTGTAACTGGACAGAGCCATGTAAATCCTCTGTGACAAAACTGTTGGTTAAAAGATGGGCTATATACATAGGTTTTAATTTGTAACCTACATAATAGATGTCAGAAGTAATGAAATGGCAGTGTATGTTGTACTAGTCAATTTGGAACCCAAGTGACTATCATAAGTTCCCAGTGAAGAGACTTTCAGTTTGTTGAATGTGTAAGAATACTGACGGACCCACAGTAGACAATAACTGGAGTAGCTTGGCACTTGTCCCATTCTATCATGTTGTTACTGTAACTGGGTCTTGTTGGTCTTATTTGTGGCTAATGGAAGGGGAAGAAAAGGGTGAAAGAAACTGTAAAATGCCAGTGGTGCAGAGAATCGTTATTGAGCTTTTGATTGCTATTGATCGTTCTAGCAGTAGATCCAGTTGTAAACGAGAGCACTGCAATTAGACAGTTCATACAGGAGGCCATTGTTGCTGTAAGAACACATTCAGTAGTGTACATACCAACTGGATTACAATAATGATAAAATTTAAAGCCCACGGTAGTCATACTGACTTCTGAAATGTTATATACGGTTCGGGCTTCTAGTTTTCAGTCATGTTTGCAAATGGAGGTGTGCCATAATGGTGTTTGTCATTTGTTTTCCCCTTTTTCCAGTTTCTTATTTTTCTCCATTGTATTTTCAATTCTTTCCTCACCTGTCAATTGCTTAGGTTTCTAATTTTGCTATTTTCAGCCCTTTTAATTTTATATCCTTGTCCCCTCCCCCCAACAATGTTGGTCATTCTTTCCAATTTTTTTTTTTTGGCATTGTTGCATGTTTGTAAGATGAGTGTATAATCGGAGGTGTTTTTAAGTTTGTAGGTTTGTTGTAAAATTGAATCTGTATTATTTAATGTCACATGAATTTTTTGAAGTTGTGTGAAATAAATCTAATTGCAGTAGGTAAAGTTGCCAAGAGATGACGTTAAATGGATAGGCGTGGCTCTTGGCAATTTTGTGTGGTATAAGAACGATGTGGTGTTTTCTGGGGCTATAAATTGTACGTGAAGGTCGGAAATAATAGCACATGAAAATTAACTAGCAAGGCAAGAAGTAGAATTGCAATTACAATTTGTAGTTGTAGGAATCTCCAACAAATGGGGAAACAGCATTAGTTGGGTACATTTTGATGCCATCTGTTGGTGATTTTCACAGTTCTGGTTTCAGCAATGGAGTAAATATTTTTGTGACAGCGTTTTTGAGTGAATGCTCACCCCATCCTTTTGGAAGTTGTACTAATGTAGGCACGCTAATACTACCATCTATTAACAACCCTGAGAACGACAAGTTGTGCATACGGCAATGGATAAATGAAAAAGTTTGCCACGGTAATAATTTTTTTTTGTCTTGGATTACAGGTATAGAAGAAACTGAATGCTTCGCCCATCTGTCGACGACATTTAGAACTAATGCGGAAATTGCTGCGGCGCTAGTAATTGTGGTAGCAGCTTCAGTGCCATCTGTCTGAAAATAGTTTTTACTAATTGTGTGATTGACCCGTCAAGTTTTGGAACTACGAATTGTGGGCGTAGCAGAAATTTTCTTTAAAATATATTTCAGTGCCATGTGTTAGCGGTCCTAGTTACACCGTACATTTTACACTAGGCTTGCTTCTGCCATCTACCAACCAATCTGTGAACTCTTATTCATTTTATTTTAATTTATTCTCTTGGACTTGAACTGCCGAACGCTGCCGAAGTCTGGCTTGCTGGTCCGTCGTCTTATCCACTAGACCACGAAGCTCTTATGTTACTATATAAATTCAGAACTTCCTGATATATTGTGGCTCATCGGAAATTTGACACAAATATTTCAAATGCAGGGGCCTTACTATCGGGAGCCTAAACAGCGCGGCTCAGGAGGTTGCCGTTCGTTTCTCAGCCACTGGACCACGAAACGGTTACACAAGCCAGTGTCTCTGGGTTTCGAATACCTCCTTTGACATCCTAAGACCTACCACTTTCATTCTCAATCCCTTCCATCATAAGTACCAGCGCCATAACAGTATTCAATTCTATAGGGGCGGCGTATAATTAAAAAAAACGAATGCCGAAACATTTCCAGTCCATATTTTGGCAGCTCTGTATTTACATAAATGACGTCACATCCTTAACTGCCAACATAACTAACAATAGGACTAAAAGTATTACACAGAATTTTTTTTTTTTTGGGGGGGAGGGGCTTTTTCCATCATCCGGTACTCTAAAATTAAACCTACGACGTTTCGGAAACTGAATCAGTTTGTCCTAGTGTACCGGGCGGTGGAAAAAGTCCAAAAACCCAGTAATTGTGTGTTATACACCATCTACTAAAAATATTTTGTTACATAAGCTCAGGCTTTGAGAGACACTGATGCCATGAAAACTAGCTGTAAATACAGTACCACAATAAAATGTATGGAAACAGAATTATACATATATTTTTTAATTTACCCACAGCACAAAATCTTGAATTCAATCCTACTAAGACAGCGGCACTTGTGATGGAGCAATATAATTTCATCAGTATGGGTGAAAGGGTTGTTGGATTTCCCCCTGTACTGTTTGGACCAGGTTCATTTCCAGTGGTGGGATTTGGTACTAGGCTTCAGTTTTAGCTAAATTATTGTGGGTGCATACCTTAACTCAAGGGGTTGGGGGGAGAGGGAACCAGTGCACAAGGCTTTTTTCTTAGAAACTCTTAGAAAACAAAGAGGGGATAATTTTGGGATGAGTGAGGTAAAAATGATGTGGCAATTTATAGCAATTGGTCAAACTGCTGAAGAGATACATTACCATCTTACAGAACAGCATTCTGCACCTGGAACTGCTGTGGCAAACATGATGTGTGCTGACTCACCTCGCCATGTGCACCACTCAACAATTTCACCTGGTCCATCTTCAATGTCCATTCTGCTCTTTACATTCCCATTCTTTGCAACCGCATATCCTTTTGGAATTATGCTGCTGCTGGTGCTGCTGTACTTACATGTTATATCTGTATCTGCTGACACTACTGTATATAATTTCGTTCTCGGGGTGGGGCTTTGTTAAAATGTAATTTTTAGTACATACCATCAAATAACATAAAATAATATTTATGTACTCAGTCTCACAACATGTTTTAACACTCAAAAGTTTCCACAAGATTATACACTGATCCTAAAAACTTGCACTACAATCAGTATAGATCTAGTACTTAGAGGTGGCAGCCCTCTGGCACGGGGTAGGAGAAGTATTGGTAGTGGCGGTGAGAGCTCCAGCATGCTGACAAGTGTGGCGGGGAATGCTGTACAGGCGTTCTCAAAAGGAAAGAACTTCTTACCTCATTGTGTTCACACATCCGATGTTAAGTTTTAGTGCCGAATGGCAGAGTATTATGCACTATACACTATTATACACTTTTCACTGTTATATACATGGAGAGTTAATTTACATATTACACAGGTATATTCTATAGGGGCAACACCGGCAATGTTCGATTATTTTTTTGTTTTCTTCCGGCGGAACCCCAGTTTCAAAATAATTTTCTTTAATGTGGAGATGCATCCCTGAAAATCTAACGTTTTCTTCAACTTTTCGTGAACTTTTTTCAGGGTAGGTCTCCGTTTTTCGACTGTAGAAATCATCAATTGTTCTTCGCACCACAGACTCGTTAAAGTCATCCAAAGTGGCTAGTGGAGATTTCCTAGGTCTTTCTTTATGGGTGTTGAAAAGGAAGTGGACGCCCCAGATTCGATATTTTCTGTTTCTCGTATTATTCTTCTGACACTACTTTCCGATACACCTGTTGCCTTTGCTACTTCCACTCCTATGTTCTTCACTGTAATTGTTTGCCCAGCCTCTTTCATATACTTATATACATTACTAACAACTTCTCTTGATTGTGAATGCAACACTTTTCCACTCAATTTACTTTGTGTAGGTGGCATGTTAAAGGAGATAGAAAAAATGTACAAATATAAATAAACAAAAAATAAAATCAACGAATAAAAATAAAATTTTGTCACGTGTCACCAGTTGACTTCTGGCCCAATACTTCAACGCAACGTCTCAACTGTCTTTGGCGACGGCTATCCCAATACTGACTTCTTGCTGTCTTCTGTCTCTTAAGGTCTCGGCTTATGTAGGTGTTCTGTGGACTGGATACCAGACACTATTCCTCACTGTTTCGTTTCTACTGTCTACGAACGCGTTATTTGCATTACAATGGAAGTGCCTATTCCAAACTCACGTGTTCGGCAATCCATTGCCTCAGGAGAGCTCCTTCGCAACGGTCTGTTTGTATTCGATTTGTCACTGTTGGAACTCAACAATTTCCATTGTAGCCGTTGCACGGCAATGGACGTAAGGTAACGCGTCACAATATTAATATAGTAATTAGAGAATAATACACTCAAATATGACTCCAAGAGTCGAAACTTTTTAACTTGACTGTACAAGGAAGAATGCTCTTCAGCTCTTCAACTCGCACTGAATGTAGACGAATGACTAATCACAACACCCCTCAACTTTCACAAATGGACCTGCCCATCCACGGCTCAGCTTTTCCTAGACAGTCAGCTCTAAGTACTAGAGCTGTACAAACCAGTACAGTACACTGTATAAGTGTTATACTCACAGCATAAGTTTTTACTAAATTACATCAAGCCTTCACTACAATCTCACTGTCAAGCTCCCACTATTTTGGGCTTCATTATTAGTACAGTACCTTCAAGAAAGTCTGCCTCAAATGTACTAATGTTGCTATGCTGTTTTACTCTTTTGTAAAACGGTCCTGATATTTTTCTTTATTAATGGACACACATGCCTTTGTGAAAAATGCATATACAGTTTCAATGACATATTAAATGAAGCTTTCTACTTCACAAAACATGTGCCTTCAATACTCAATTAATATTTCATTCTGCCCAAGTCAATGACGTATAGAAACCTTGCCATTAAGATCTGGAAGCACACAGAATGCAGGGGGACCTGGTTTGCTGGTTGTCTTGAAACAGATTTGCATATCTACTATTAACTATGAATGTGTGTGATGCATTTCTAACAACTTTGAAATCCAAAGCTTTATTGACAATAATTTTCTCATGTGCATCTCTTACTGATAGCAACAATTTTAATTGTGGCCAGTCTTGTAACATATACTGTACAGAGACAGCCAGGTCACCATCAGAATTTTGCCCCAGTCTTGTAACATATACTGTACAGAGACAGCCAGGTCACCATCAGAATTTTGCCCCATGACCGAGAAGCTACTGATGAAAGGAAGTGTTTTACTCTGCAGATATTTGTGTCACATTCCAAAGCATTGTTATCAAATTTGATAATTCCCATTCCTTTCTCTAAATTTACGTCATTTTTCCTGGAACATCTGTATAAATATTTTTCCTTCCCCCCTCTGACTAGCATTTACTACACTGCAATGAACCATCCAGCATATCACAATCACAGTCCAGTGGTCATTATGTTCACTGCCAGCTAGGATTACATAAAACAGATACATTCTGATTCTTCTTAAATATGATATTTATACTGACTTCAAGCACAAAATATTTGCAGAAGAGGATATTTCCTTAAGCCATTATTTTGCACAAGGGAGAATTTGAGTCAAAAGCTATGAAAGTATGTATTTTCAAGCTGTAAGTTGCTTTCTCCGCCATATTTTTTTTTAGGTTAAATGTTGACTGAATAGCAAGAGATTTCTAGGCCTGCTTACATTATATGAAGGACACTGGATATACAACTGTTTGGGCAAGAAGTAGATGAAGGATCAAAAGTGTTTTCAATGTCTTTTGTGTGTATAGTATCCCTGGAGTTCGACACACTCCCTCCAATTATGTGGAAGAGTGGAAGCCTTTTCTTGCGCCTCAAATCACTGTGAAACAGCATCTGTAAATTCAATGCTGCCTGGAAACTATCCATGGAAGTGTTTCTTTAGGTTTCAGAAACAGGAAACAATAAGTGGTAGCCAAGGGTGCACTGTAAGGATGACTTCATTCTCCAAAGCCACAGTTCATTATAGCAGCAACTTCTTCTGGCTTGTGAACAATTAACACCTTTGTAACATCCCCCTGTTCTTCCTTGACAACTGCCTTTATATTCCAAAGAACAGCACAGGCATCCACTGTCCTATTTGGCACAGAGTCCATGAGTAAAATTCCCAGATCCCAAGACACCAATGGCCATGTTTCCAGCCAACAGTTACATCTGAATGCAACCATGACATTTCCACTGGATGGACTCCTGTTTGTTTCTGCCTTCCAGTGACAGATCCATATTTCATTACTCGTAACAACAATTCTTAAGAGAAATGCTTCTGATTCAAAAGTTCAAAATTCCCATCTGAACACTAACTTTGACATGCCAAGGCGATCATGGAGGATGGCCAGAACAGATGGTTCTGATATAAAACTGTTTATGTACTACACAGCCCATCAACAATGCAACAAATTATTCCATACTTCTTACACTTTCACTTTTGACACATGTTTCGGCCCTAAATGGCCATCTTGAGGTCTCTTACTAGGTTAAAACTGCTAAACTGCACTAATATTGTCCACTCAACACATGTTGTCCCTGTGCTTAACTAAGCACTACACCATGAAGGCATATGGGGGAGTGGATGTGTAGATCCACAGTTCTGATATAATGCATTAAGTAATCATGTATACTTTCAAACACATGTCCTGCATAATCTGTCTTCAATTTTCTCAAACACTTCTGTAGTTACTTCCTGTGGCCTTCGATGATAATGGTCATCTTAGAATATTGTCTACCCTCTGTGAACTGATTAGACCATACAGCACTTGCTCAGAAAGTGCAACATCACACCAGCCAACGTTTGTTCACGGACAAACCTCCATCCATTCCCTTCATTTCTGAGGAATCTGATAACAGTCAATGCTCTAACTTAATGTTTACCTACATGCAAATAGGCTGATTTACACTACAGCCACATCACAAGTTTCGAATGGACTGAACTGGAACTACACAGGTAACCTGCAGAGATGTGTGAGAACAGGTTACAACCTCTTTCATTGCAATACAGACATGTAGTCTATGTAGATTATATATCAAAGAGTCCTCCATAAATGTAAAATATATATTCTCCTGTATTTCCATGACATGTGTGAGGATTATACAACCCAAACAGAAAGAACTGACAAAAACTATTGTAGGCACACAGGCTCAGATTTACTTAGCACTGCCCAAGTTCCTTATGGAAAGGACAATTTAATGGGCTGCACAATGACAATACAATGGACAGCATATAAAAACTGTGATACTACAACAAGGGGAATATTATACTATAATTTCAACCCACAACTGCAAGAATCATCAGACCTAGAAACAGCATCTGAGAGATGTTTCAAAAGAACATGTATATTCTAGTTCATTATAGTGATAATACTGCCTCTGCTCAAAGGGTTTGTACTAGCTGACTCACTCCAAATTTGCACCAATCAAATTAAATCCCCTTAGCCTACCCTTTCCTTTAACGGCCAGACATAACATCACGGCTTATGTAACTCAACCCACTCGTACTCGCTGCTGATTGTCAAAACTGTAATCTGTGACCTTAAGCTACACTTGCACTCAGACCCATGGGTACGCAAGCAAATTGCTAGAGCTAAAACCCACTAAGACCCTGTACACTGCTGCATATATTACATACATACAGTGAAATTACTGTTTAATGTATCAATGGAGGTACAATTAATTTTCCATTAAATTTAGGTTCTAAAAGGGGATTATGCAAAGTTAAATCAAGAAGCTGTTCGTCTACTTCGTATATTCCTTCCAATGTTCCTGCAGTAGTTAGGATAAGACAATTTCTTTACACAAGCCATTAAAGACAGTTTCTACAGCAATAAATACAATTACCTCAAATAAATTTCTGAAATACCTAATGACATGAAACAAACACAGTGGTTGTGGAGGAACAAATGCAAATACTCATTCAATTACTATCACATTATATCCAAAAGTTTCTTATGCTAAATTCAGGTTATGTACTGAATCAAAATCCACTAATACAGGAAAATGCCACATAGCTTTCACTGATCTTTGGCTGTGACCAGAAAAATATTAACTCAATAAGAGAGTTCAATAAATGCAAGAACATTGAAATCTGAATTTCACTGTACTCTGCACTTGTGTCAGGAGCACCTGAGTTTATACCACTCTTGATCTAGATTATGTTCAGATCAGGCCACTCTTACATCAGAGAGTTCTGCTGTAAACTGAGTGCACATGTTAACCTAGATGAAACTCTTCTATTTCAACCCTTATCCCTTTCCTATCCTCTGTTGGAAACCTTTTACTGCCCCTTGTTTTGGTGGCATCCTTAGTGCTCAACATTCTTTGACACCTATTATAGTAGTTCACATATAGGAACAAGAGATGGCAGAGATTTTATATTTTTGTAAGCAGTCTGTCTTGCTTTTGCACTGCTTGCTTGTTGTAGCTGCTGAAGTACATTGGAATTAAAAAAGGATTGGAAATGGTAAACAAAATAATTGATGTTCAATATGGAAGCTGTGTCCCCATCAGATGATAAAAAGAATTTTATTATCTCGCCACTAATTACAATGAAGCACTGTAAATAATGTTGTCTTACACATCTACACACTGCAAACAACATGAAACACTTAGGAAAGTATTTCATTGCATCACACATGAACACATGAAACTCTAGCATTCTACACAGCAAAATGAAATTGGTGAGTTTGTAGATCCTACAGGAAAGGGTGAAACCATGACCTTTGGGCCCTTTACCTGCGGTAACTGTTTCACAGCCAACACAGCCTGTATGTAACAGTAGTCCTAATTGTACTAGAGTTAATTTTGTGCTCATCTGATAGATAATCATATGCAGTTTGCAATGCCTATGTCTGACATAGGTTAGCTTCGTCACCAAAGGGAACAATGAATTACTCGAACAATGTATCATCAAAATTCTTCTGAGCAAAATGTATATTTCCCTACTTCCACCCCACTTTACAAAGACCCAAAATATCTCAAGTCCCACACATAAGAAATTGTGTGTTAACTGTAACTGGACACACCAGATAACAGTAATTACAGTAGCCTGGTATAGGGATTGCCCATGCAGATCTTCGTACCCTCAAAAGGGTTTTTGGATGCCTGAAGAAATAGAGATAATAGTAACAATTTTTTACTTGTTCAGTGGTAACTGCAAATTAAGTACTCATTTGTGCTCTACGAACACCATCTCTGCCCAGTCCCAAGGATTTGAAGTGTCCAGCATTCAAGTGTAGGTAACATTTTTAAATAACATTACATATTATTCACTTGGAATTTTTGAGACAGTGTACCTAAATCACATCTTCTGTAATGTCTCCATTTGAGAAAATAAGGTACAAAGCCAATATGTCATATATTAGTTTCATTCACACTTCCTCTGGTAGATTCACATGATTCCAGCTGCAAATTATAAGATTTCTGTGAACCCCTTCAGTAATTACAAAAGATATCACATTTCGAGGTAAAAGTGTCACTTCCTTTAGGAATTCTGAATTCCCCTTAGATACTTACAGGGCTAAAATTTTGTATCATCACTGTTTTGCAGGGCCCATAAACACATCAAACTTCAGTAAAACTGAAGAGCCATGCCAATATGTCACTGGATTCTTATACCATTATATCACTGCAAAACAGATGTGAAATTTCTATAGCACTGTGTCATAAACACAAGCACGTTAAAACCTGCATGCATTCTTCAGAACCTTAATAAATTATGCTTGAAGTGCATGTTCCACTATTGAAATATTATACATTTCTTTGAAAATACTGGCAAATCTAATCTTTCCATGTCCAACATGGTGTTCAGCTAGGCTGTACCAGCAATGCTATGTTCTGAGGTTATATTTCCTATAGCAATGGAAATCAGATTGTCCTGCTTAAGCCTGCCCAGTCTACAGTTACGTATGGCCTGGATGAAAAATGCCCACAAGCTCCGACATAAAAAAAAAGACATCACAGTTAGCTTGTTACCTTATTATGTCTGTCAGCAGTAATACTCCACGTTCTTAGTCCAAAGTGCTCTCCATGTTCTCACAGGCAGTGATGCAGATCCTTCACTTGATGTCACGCAGCTTCAACACCATCTCCACTGCTTCTAGGTGAACCAGCCTCACAGTCTGCAAACAGATGCATTTCAGCTGCAGTCAGAATTCAAGGGACCCTTTTTACACTTTACCAATTACTGCTACAGCATATCACAAGTATATTTATAAAAACAACAGAATGTTAAGTCCCTATGTTTTACAGCAAATGTTCTAAACCAGGGATACATGTACACTCACAGGGTCAGTGAGGCCTCACAAAGTGCAGATAAGTTACTTCACACAGTCAAAAACAACCAGAAGCAGGCAACAGTTCTTGCTGCATACTTCTGGTGGCTTCAACCCTGATGAAGACAATATATTCCTGCAAAACTCTGGACTCTCTGCAAACTACATGGCATTACAACCCACGAGTCTGTACTCCCTTTACTCTGCATTTATAAAGCATGACAACATGTAGCTTGAGACAGAAATGAAGTTATCACTGAAAATGAAATGATGAAATTTCACACTGAGACCATGGGGCACATCAGCTGCATAGGATTCTGAAATGCCAACTTACAGCAATGCTTTGTCAAGTCTTCAATAATCCCAACAATGAAATCAGAAATCACCACAGACTGGGTTCCATACAAGCTACAATCCTCCTACCATATGCATATGTAGTGCTGTGTCAGTATTATATCACACTTTAAAATGAACCACAGGTTTCCTGTTCACCTGAATGAACTTAAAAAAAAAGTTCAGTTACCTCAAAAAGAACACCATGTCCCCCTTACAAAGACCAACAACCTAACGCTGATTACAGAGATAATCACTGTGAGAATCTTGTAGAACACACACCATGGGGGAAAATGCAGGCTTTCTTAACACTTTGCAGACCAGACGCATGATATCAGGCTTTTAGGACACATTAGGTTGTAACAAACTATACCTTGCTCTGGCGCCATGCAACTGCAATGAATACTGCATAATAAATCTTCGGAATGTATGCTAGTTATTCAGCAACTTGACCTGGCTGGCTAGGGTCCCTACTCCAAAAGGAAATAAACTTTGCCCCTTCCAGCTGTTTATGTACCAGGCAGGAAGTTAGTAGAGGCGCCATGCAACTGCAATGAATACTGCATAATAAATCTTCGGAATGTATGCTAGTTATTCAGCAACTTGACCTGGCTGGCTAGGGTCCCTACTCCAAAAGGAAATAAACTTTGCCCCTTCCAGCTGTTTATGTACCAGGCAGGAAGTTAGTAGAGGCGCCATGCAACTGCAATGAATACTGCATAATAAATCTTCGGAATGTATGCTAGTTATTCAGCAACTTGACCTGGCTGGCTAGGGTCCCTACTCCAAAAGGAAATAAACTTTGCCCCTTCCAGCTGTTTATGTACCAGGCAGGAAGTTAGTAGAGGCGCCATGCAACTGCAATGAATACTGCATAATAAATCTTCGGAATGTATGCTAGTTATTCAGCAACTTGACCTGGCTGGCTAGGGTCCCTACTCCAAAAGGAAATAAACTTTGCCCCTTCCAGCTGTTTATGTACCAGGCAGGAAGTTAGTAGAGGCGCCATGCAACTGCAATGAATACTGCATAATAAATCTTCGGAATGTATGCTAGTTATTCAGCAACTTGACCTGGCTGGCTAGGGTCCCTACTCCAAAAGGAAATAAACTTTGCCCCTTCCAGCTGTTTATGTACCAGGCAGGAAGTTAGTAGAGGCGCCATGCAACTGCAATGAATACTGCATAATAAATCTTCGGAATGTATGCTAGTTATTCAGCAACTTGACCTGGCTGGCTAGGGTCCCTACTCCAAAAGGAAATAAACTTTGCCCCTTCCAGCTGTTTATGTACCAGGCAGGAAGTTAGTAGAGGCGCCATGCAACTGCAATGAATACTGCATAATAAATCTTCGGAATGTATGCTAGTTATTCAGCAACTTGACCTGGCTGGCTAGGGTCCCTACTCCAAAAGGAAATAAACTTTGCCCCTTCCAGCTGTTTATGTACCAGGCAGGAAGTTAGTAGAGGCGCCATGCAACTGCAATGAATACTGCATAATAAATCTTCGGAATGTATGCTAGTTATTCAGCAACTTGACCTGGCTGGCTAGGGTCCCTACTCCAAAAGGAAATAAACTTTGCCCCTTCCAGCTGTTTATGTACCAGGCAGGAAGTTAGTAGAGGCGCCATGCAACTGCAATGAATACTGCATAATAAATCTTCGGAATGTATGCTAGTTATTCAGCAACTTGACCTGGCTGGCTAGGGTCCCTACTCCAAAAGGAAATAAACTTTGCCCCTTCCAGCTGTTTATGTACCAGGCAGGAAGTTAGTAGAGGNACCTAGTTCATCACAACTGACTTTACGCAACCATTCTGTTAAAGGTAAATCATCGTCATTATTGGTGTTATCCTCATTCTCAGTGCCATTCAATCCCTGAGTTGATAAGATTCCCCCATGCCAGAAGCAGTTCTGAATTGTTTTTGTAGTTACTTGTCTCCATGCTTGTTCAATGAATCGTATTGCGTCCAGCAGTGTAACTGTGTAATCTTGCTTCTTCTCGATGCGCTCTACAATTCTTAACAATATCAGTTTGCGGTAGTGACATTTCAGGTTCCTTATGACTCCCTGATCCATGGGTTGCAATACGCTTGTAGTGTTTGCAGGTATAAACACAAGTTTAATCTTCTCTAGATTTTGAAGTACAGGGTGCGCTGGACAGTTGTCTACAAGCAAGATGATCTTTCTTTTCCTTGTTTGAAGTTCCCGGTCCCAAGACCTGAGTTCAGCTTCGAACAAACTAGAAGTCATCCACGATTTTTTGTTAGCACTGTAGCGCACTGGTAGGTTTTCCACATTTTTAAAACATCTAGGATTTTTTGACTTTCCAATCACAAGCAATTTCCTCTTCTCGCTTCCAGTCGCATTAGCACAAACAAGAGCTGTAATCCGCTCTTTCGACAACTTGCCGCCAACACACTTCTCTCCCTTAAATTTCAGTGTCCTGTCAGGTGTCAATCGAAAGAAAATGCCGGTCTCATCGGCATTAAAGACATCCTTGTCTGCATATCCTTTACGTATACTGGGCCACACGGCAGTAAGCCATTCAGTTGTAGTTTCGGTATTTACACCCCTGGCTTCACCACTCACTTTACCCAAGTAATGTTGTGACACAACTTGAACCTATCAATCCATCCAGCACTACACACGAATTCTTCATCCTTTAACTTTTTTGCGAATTCTTCAGCTTTCACCATAAGAAGAGGGCCACTAAGTGGTACGTTATCACTTCTTTGCTGCTTAAACCATTTAAGCAGCGCTTCATCGACATCACTCCGTTCAGGCTTACACAATCGCTTTATTCTCGACCCATTTTGTTCAAATGTATCAATAATTTTTGTTTTATTTCTCCATATCGTTTGTACTGTAGAATTCACCAAACCAAATTCGCGGCATACATCAGCTTTTTTCCTTCCATTTTCTATTTCACGAATCACTTTAACTTTCTCTTCAATGCTTAAAACTTTCCTTTTCATTGCCATGTTTTCGCTACTGCACTTCTCTGGGTTTAGGCAGGAACACTATAGGGTAAGTAGACAATGTGAGATCCTGTTAGACGAGATTCTAGGAAAGAAATGTAGTTAACAACCTGCCGCGTCCTCTTGCACTATTCACGCAGTCCCACCCCACACCCTTGTTTTCGCATAAAACCCACGCTCCTCTTGCAGCCCGCGGTCGTATTCTTCCAGGACAGTCACGTCAGCAAGTAGAGAAAGTGAGGGTGGGCAGACACATCTAACTTTCCCACGATATCAGAGAAATTCAGGAATGAAAATGACGTTACATACGAGGTTGATGCATTTGTGCATGTCGTACTAAGCAAGGTATAAAAACAGTTGCTTTATGAGGAATTAGTTCATACCATTGAATACTTGACGCAATAGACAAGGTGTCGCAGAAACCGATGTTGCTATAACCAAGTTTTACTGTAATTAGAGTTTATATTAATTTTTAAAGTGAACAGTGCACAAGTTAGGGTAGTGGGAATAAAAATGCCGGTCCATAGGGTGATTTAAATATTTAAATTGCCGATCCGCAAAGTGTTAATGTTAAAGCAGGTGGTACATAAGCTATAGCAACCAATGTGCTTTAAAGAGATTGGTGTCCATCCATTTTCCTACATTAACCCTTTAAAAAACAAGTTTGTGCTTCTACTGAACTAGATGCCCATGTAACTTATTCAAGTTTTAAATGACAATTAATTACATTATGATACATTAATATGGGCAGGATCATCTCGATTTCATCAACTTAGAGTGATCAAACCATTAAGCATGGCAAGTAACATTTAATTTTAATATGCTATATCCAGTAACAAGGAACACTGCAACAAAGTTTCACCATACAGCAGAATGAATGTAGGGCACACCATTTAAAGCGATCTTACAACAACAAAAATAACACAATGCACACAGCCAAAAAAGGACACATCACAAGACACGGTATATACAAAATATAAGAATGACTCCCATGGCGGAAGAATGATATAATACGCGAGTTTGAAATACGACGTATAAGATCTTAATAAATTTTAATATATATAAATTTTATTATAGTACATGAAGAACACATTTTAAATCATTTTATAAACGACACATGATGGCGAGCAGTGCAATAGTTTAACATAAATAACACACCTGAGGATGGCACAATGATGCCGAAACATGCAGTGAAGTGACATGTGAGACTGTGTGCACTACAAGACAGTCAATACATACATATCATGGATGAGAATCAGTGCAAGAGGATGCTAAAATACAACATTAACAAAAATAATAAACTGGCTGACATGGTTGGACCACACATGATGATGTAGTAGTGATGCTTTAGGCATAAAATGAGAACCTGCTTTTTTTAAACTTCAGTTAGGACACTGCCTCTCAGGACTGAGGTCTCTGTGGATTTGCTCAGTCACAGTGGGCAAATGCCAGGACAGTAACCGCTTCCTTTCAAGTCCTTTACAGTTCACTGCTCACCACTGATCCTACCATTTGGCGCAGTATAGTCTGTAATACTGACAGCACTGTTAAGTGTAATAGATCCTTCTGACCCATGCTGTACCACGGAGACAATTCATACACTATAGTCTTATTTGACGGAATGTCTGATTTCACTTCAGACGGCCACATCAATGGGAAAACTAACTCTAAAATCTACACCGTAACATCTACCTACAAATCAACAAACATCATATGCTGTTAAACTTGAAAATCTTAACACGAGACTGAGGCACTAATTTCAAGTGAGAATTTTTAATGGTAAACCTTTGTCTTAATCACCAAATACCTACATCAAAATTGTTATAATTTTATCTCATCTATACTAGTGATCGGCGAGGAACAAAAACGGCCTGTTTAAGACCATACACAAGGTTGAAATACTGCCAAGTTCGCATATGCTGTATGCCAGTTGTTCTGAAACTGTGGGGCGCGAAGGGTTTGAAAGGGGGGGCGCAGCACACTTTCCTACAGATAAAAATTAAAACTGCCATAAATCAATTAGAAAAGTAACAAAAAATAAAAATACATATAGAAAAACTTTTGATGAATACAGGCTTTAATTATCATGAATTTCAAAATAACTAATAATTATTCTCTTTACCGGCAATTATAAAATGCGTATGCCAGAGACAGCGTTGGTAGTTCGGCAGCAGCCGCATCCTCTTCCAGGCAGCACTGAAAGCAGTGACTTATGTCATCTCATTGGCGCCTGTTGGGCAGGGAGCAGGCAGTTTGTCACCAGACTCAATGGTGATCGACGGGTATGCCTGTTTGATGTTGTGTTTTTATGCATTCAATGTTTCAGTGCAGTTGTGCTGATTTGTTTACCTCTTGAAGTTGACTTGATTATGAACTGATCATGAAGCATTTCCTGATTAGTGATAGAAATGAACACACCAGTGCTCCTTCAACTAGTGGTGGGAAAGAAGCTACCCAGTGTGAAAACGAGCAGGTATGATGAGAACTATTTATCACTAGGCTTTATGAAAACTGTGATCAATGATGAAGAACATCCGCAATGTGTAATCTAAGTATTTTAGCTAATAAAATTGAAGAGACATCTTGAAACCAAACATCAAAAGTTTACAAATAAACCAAAAGATTTTTTTGTTAGAAAGCTTAGTGGCTTAAAGTCCACCCAACAGAAATTTGCTAAAGCAACAAATGTAACTTCTAAGGCCCTTTTAGCCTCTTACCAGGTTTCTCATAGAATTGCTAAATGCAAGAAACCACACACAATTGCAGAAACACTGATTTTACCAGCAGCGACTGACATAGTATCAACAATATTGGGTGACTCTTCTGCTCAACAATTGAAAAATATCCCCCCATCTAATGACACAGTTTGTAGAAGAATTTCAGACATTTCTGATGATTTACATCAGCATTTAATTGAGAAGCTGTGTAACAACTGCTTTGCACTTCAAGTGGACGAAGCGACTGATATTCATAAAGATGCTCATTTGATTGCGTACATTCGTTTTGTTGGTGAGTGTAATATGCGAGAGGAATTGTTTTTCTGTGAGTCTATCTTGAAAACAGCAACAGCTCAAAGCCTTTTTGACATGATTAATGCTTTCTTTAATGAAAATTGGATATCATGGGATAAGTGCACTGGCATATGTACAGATGGAGCTCATTCACTGTTTGGAGTTTGTGTTGGATTACAAGCAAAAATTAAAGCTGTTGCTCCCGAAGCAGTATGGACTCACTGTATGATAAATCGGGAGGCTCTGGCAGCTAAAGAACTCAGCCCACACCTTCATGAAGCGCTGCAGACGGTTGTAAAAACTGTCAATGTTATCAAGACAAATCCTCAGAAGTCTAGACTTTTTAAAATGCTGTTGATGAAATGGGTGCTGAACACACTGCTCTGTTGTTTCTTAGTGATGCTCGATGGCTTTCATGAGGCAAGGTATTAAAGAGAATGTTTGAGCTGAGGCATGAGGTGTTCTGTTTTTTAAATGGGGGAAATCACTCACTGGCAGACAGTTTCAGCAACAAGGATTTTTTATTGAAAATGGCTTACCTCACAGATATATTTGAGAAACTAAATATCCTCAACACTTCACTTCAAGGGAATGAGGCAATTGTACTTTCTTGGAATGACAAAGTGAAGGCATTCATGAGAAAATTAGAGCTCTGGAGAAACAGTATGGAAAGTGACATGCTAGACATGTTCCATACTCTGGTGTCAATGGTACAAGACACTGATAATCCAGTGCTTCCAACAGACATAAAAAGTTGCCTACTTGATCATCTAATAATGTTGAAAGTTCATTTCGAGAAATACTTTTGCAATGATTTTGATGAATTTAATTGGATTAAAAATCCATTCAAAAATGCTCCTGGGCCATCATCTCTGAATGTAAATGAAGAACAACTCATCGATCTCACTAGTGATACTTCATTAAAAAGTAAATTTAAGGAACTGTCTTTGTTGGAGTTCTGGATACATATTGGCAAGGAATTCCCAACTTTGAGCCAAAAAGCATTGAAGATCCTGATTCCTTTCACAACAATTTACTTATCCAAGACAGGCTTTTCTCTTTTGGCAGCAATAAAGTCAAAGTATCATTCAAGGCTAAATATTGCTAAAAAAAGTTAGAGTGGCCATTTCTGATATTACACCACGTTTTGATAAACTTTGTTCTCAAAATCAGGCCCGTCCATCACACTGAACTTTGACATTTAAATGTTTGATTTTCTTTGCAGAAAAAAATTAAATACTTGTTAGTTAAATACCGTTTCATTTCAATACATATTCTGGTTAATTGCAAGTGTTAGACACTAATTTTTATTGCAGGCCTAATATTGTGATACTTCAATTTTGAGTAAGAAACTGCTAAATNATAGTATTTAGAAAAACACAAAATAAACTGAATAAAACGTCATACCATGACTTCTATTTTGATAAAAAAAAACAAGCTTTGGGGGGGGGGGGCCTGAGAGTATTTTCTCTTGTCAGGGGGGCTCAGAGGTAAAAAGTTTGAGAACCACTGCTGTATGCAATATTGGCAAAGTTTGTGTACATCAGTTACTGCATACTGACAGAATACAATAAATTCATCTGCCTTACAGAGTAATGGCAAACAAGGCTTATACAAACACGTCACACAAAGTAGGATGAGGCTTCCCCTCGGCATATGCAGATCATAAAGGAATTCGGGGGAAATGGAGATTGCACGATACATTGCAGTACCCACTACCACATAATTAAACCTTTACATGGCGTGCTAATTGAGCAAATACGTCGTATTTAAATTCTGCAGTTTTCTGATTAGGTTATATACTGAATGCATATTCATGAACCGTTAATTCCGGCAATATTTGCTTACCAATTTCACTACTAAATCTGTCATTCGAGTTTTTACGACCTTGACGCCATTTTGAATTTCTTGTTCATTTTACTTTCTTCGCCGTACACTTTTCGGAACGTTTAATAAATTTCACACAAAAGCCTACATAGCTTCCCAGTAGTTCTTGTCATTTATGCACTCCAAAAATTACTACGAAAATATTACTACCATCTCTACACGCGTAATTCACAACTACGTCACGGAAATTTATGTCACGTAACTATTTCAGTGCAATTTAGTATTACCAAAACAACCCGAATATGCCCCGACTTCTGCAATGAATATTACAAACATTAATGGATTTAAAATTACTTACATCCTATTTAGGACATGACCTTGCTCCATTCCTTCCTAGTGGAATTCACTCCTCATATTCCAACCACGAATCAATTACAGTCACATTATATTGACCTCCCTTCCTTCCTCGTGGAATTCACTCCTCATATTCCAACCACGAATCAATTACAGTCACATTATATTGACCGATAATCACACTCGTAGACAGCACTCTCCAACTCATCACATTGCATTGTGGTCATGACGTCATTACCCCTCCATTACCAACCTCAAATCGCTCAAATCGATGGCTATTTTCTCAAAATTACAAAACGTCCTTGTCTGTTGAAAATCCAAAATATACTTGATATAACATAAATGTTCTGCACTGCACACTTATGTCAGATATTCTGAAAATCTACATGTTCTGCATGCATACAAAATTTATGTCTTTCCTGGAACACGAATGTGTAATCAGGGTCTTCGGAATGGATGCAATACACTATTAGGTCTTGTAAGGATGTGAAATGCATCCCTTTATGGTCTTGTAATCTGCTGAATTTATCCATATAACTTCTATTTTATGTGTTTAACAACCCCTTCCTGAATATGCAACACATAATAAATATGGCCACAAAATAACCTTTTTATTTCATTATTTCAGATTTGTAAAAAAAAATCCTATACATTAAATACGTAGTGCAATCCAAAAGTTCCCGAAATTTGATTTTTGCGCGCGATTGGTTATGAGTACATCGAAATACCGCTAGGTGTCTCCCTACACATTCTTCTTGAATCGGTATGGCAAGCGGCGTCGAGTTGAGTGGTTGGGTTTATTGTTGGTGAACGTATTTCCATTGTTGTGTCTCCGTGAGTTTGCGGTTCTGCGATGGCTGACCTGAGAGAGCAGTGTGTCTGTATAAAGTTTTGTTTTAAACTTGGGAAAACCGCTGCAGAACAGCACCAAATATTGAAGCAAGCCTTTGGTGACAACAGTTTAGGCCAGGCACAAACTTACGACTGGTATAAGCGTTTAACAAATGGCCGAATATCGACTGATGATGACGATCGTTCGGGAAGGCCGTCAACAGGCACCACACCAGAAAATGTCGCGAAAGTTAGGGATCTGATTCTGCAAGATTGTAGACTGACCATCCAAGATCTCTGTAACACCTTGGGACTAAGTTATGGTATATGTCAACGAATTTTGTCAGAGGAACTGAACATGAGGATGATTGCGGCGAAGTTTGTGCCACGACTGCTGCAAAATGAACAGAAGCAGCATCGCTTGGAAGTCTGCAGGGAACTTCAACAACAGCTTTTCTTTCGAAGGTTGTCACTGGTGACGAAAGTTGGGTTTATGGCTACGACCCTGAAAGTAAGCAGCAATCGTCGCAATGGAAGAACCCTACTCTACCCCGACCAAAAAAGCTGGACAAATCAAGAGCAACATTAAGTCCATGTTGATCTGGTTTTTTTTAAATATACAGGGTGTTTCACGACTTCAGGGCATAACTGCAGGAGGTGATTTCCTAGGTCTTTGTGATCATAAAAATTCATATAAACATGTGTCCGATTTTGGACAGTTACAGAGTCATGGCCGTTTTAAACTCAGAATAGAAGGTGACGCTTACTGACAAAAAACGGAACAAAATAATAAACCAGAATAATACATGAAACATTTAAAGTATGAATGTAAAGTTAACTTCGTGAAATTACATTTAATTTGAATTTATTGGTGCTTAAAGCTGATTTTCGAAAATGCCACCACCCATTATTAACTTTAATATGGTTTCGACATATGTAAAGGACATACATATACTTTATATGAAAGGCATCCACCCCACAATAATAGTGCTCAAATAGTAGATAGGGAAATCACTGATTACGATCTCAACCTAACAATATATCATTCAACATAAACAAAAAACGAACACATAACTATATATGTTCTAGACTAAACTATAAAATACCATTACAAGACTGTCAGCTGTAACAACTCGTACAATCCTGTATACTATGTTATTCTCTAAGTAGTTTAATAGACGGATCTAACATCTAACTTAGAAATCACTTGCCATCACTTTCAAGCTATAACACATAATCTACACACCACTGTGCACATTTCATACTGTCATTTAACACGATTGCCAGCATAACACCAACGACAACATGTGCTTCACTTATCATAACAAATTCTTATAAGCAAGAATTCTTCATACAAACAAGATATGTACATAAAAGGGGAAACTTTTGAATCCAATGTGTCTGAATGGAAATCTTAACGTTCTTGAAATCACTAGTATAACTCACTACACATCACTGTATATATTACACACAAAAAAAAACAATCTCACACTAGAAAATTTAAACTTCACTTTACACTTGACAACACTGTAATCAAAACAACACACACTATACACACCACTCTGTCACACAGAACTATCACATAAATTCAAAAAATAACTTCTTCAATTGGAACTAGAAATTCACTTTGCACCCTCTTCTTACAAGTACTTATAATAATACAAAAAACATAACATTCTGACTAATAACCTACACACACGTTTAATATTCAGAGGCTACATACCAAAACTACACCCTCTTTTCTGTCATACCAAATATGCCCTCATTAAATATAATTCAATCTCTATCCATATAACCACTAAAACACATTTCTTCGAAACCACTCCACATAATTCACACGATATTATTAATAGTGCAAGAATAACCTCAAAGAAACTTTACCTCCCTACACACCCACTATTCTTATTTCCACTTACATTCGTTAAATCAATTTTATCATGTATTCTTCCTTCACACATACTTCAGTTTCATGGTTCAGAGGGAAAACACTTCGATTTCGTTGTGGAAAAGAGGAAACACATGTTTGTAAAATTTCGTGCACTGGCCAGTACTCGGTCCAGGATAATACACACATTAACACCTACCATTTGCACTATCTCACTGAATCTCTTTAACATTTACTTTTAGGCAGATAATTAATCACAACATGTACATATATGTATATAAACATACGCATAACACCCTCTTATTATTTATAAATACCTCTTCATACCAGGAAAGAAACCAACCTTGATAGTGCACACCGGATATTTAGGTCACACTGACAGGGCGGCCAACCTCTTAACATGACTGAAACAGAAACATTCGAATATCAGTCGGATTACAGGACGGCAATTTTTCATCCTATTTTTTTACCCATTTTCATGTATGATATTATTCTACTTCCTATCCACGAAGGAAAATTCGGGCGAAACAAATGCCCACCACTCACTCAATTGGTCGCGTATCCATAACCGAGAAACAAGGGAACGATTTCACTGACAACAAAGATTTTTCGTCATAAAGTTATGCCATTGGACGGCAGCATAATATCATAATATGTGATATTCAGTAATCATTTATATTACCGAGGGGGCTTCGCAAACTCTTGAGGTGGGAGCGGCGTTCTCGACACAATCTGAGCTATCACGTAGCAATATAACCTCGGTATATAACAACAGGAATTTATATTATGGGTGGAAAAACATTTAAGACGCTCAATTTTATACATAACGTCATATTTCGACTTATATTCCACGTTACGACAGTCCTATATTACGTTCGGTTAAATAGCAGCATCGTAAATGACGTCACTCTTAGGTGTGCGCAATGAACTACTGAGCACCCACGTGTAAAGCAGGGGGCTGTGTAACCGAACCATTGAAATCCTTCCCCCCCTCTTTTTATTTCAGTAGTTATAAAGTAGACAGTAAGAATTACTAAGAAACAGGTGAAGACACAGTCAGAACAAGCAGATAGACCGAACTTGCGCGGACAAGGACATCTGTTAGTTCTTGCGTCCAAGCATCTGGTGTTGCTTCGAAAAGGGCAGAAATGATACTTCATGGAACCCCCACTGAGTTTCTTTAGAAATTGAGAAGTTGACTTAGGCGGCAAGCCACTTTGAGAATTCGAGCAGTGGCAGTCGCAACGAGCCGTTAGTCAAAAGTGGGAGTGCCAGGAGTTCATTAGCGACCCTCATAAGTCGCACAACTGTCAATTTCGCCGTTTGGGATTTTAGGCCGAAACTGCTTCTAAAACAATCGGTCATTGGCCGGAACCAAAATTAAGCCAACTCCTCTTATTTGAATCCGCCTATCAGGGAATTTAGGAGGAGGAGAGAAGAGGCGGATACAATTCAGTTAGGACCTCTGGCTCGGCAGAGAGTCCAGTTTTAAGATGAAGAGTCTGCTACAAAATTTTGAACTTGGCGGAGGTAAAACCCGCGAATATACTTGCGTGTTAAAATAAATAATTTGGGCAAGTGCAACACCGGCGGCTTGGACGCCGAGACTAGGCCTGATAGTGTAGATTTAGACTCCGAGTGAGTGTGAGAAACAATAAAGTGTTCCAGTGGCAAAGTGCATTGTGTTGGTCAGAAGTGCTTCACCTTCACTTGTCCGAGCCTGACCATTAGCCGACCTGAGGGATACTCATCGCCAGGAGCTAGTCGAACCCATCGCCAGCTTCCCCCCACTTACGCCTTTCCTCCTTTAAAATGAATCGCAATCCGCACCTAGCTGTTTGCTGGCGCCCATAATATCAGATTCTATGCTGAAATTACAACCCCGTAATCAGCAACGGAAGGAGGAAGCGGTGGAGCCGGAAGAAGCGGTGGAGCCTGGTCAAGCCGGAACGAGCCACGCCCTAACAACTTCAACGGAGGAAGCACCAGGTAGGGCAGTCAAAATGACAAGTGGCAACCAACTCGTGAGGCTTGAAGTCTCACTGAGCGGTAAGGACGACGAAGAGGAGGGCGGTAAAAAGTGGCGCAGCCAACGTGACGCTCGACGTCTCAGCGAGGACGAGGGTACGAGGAGAGAGGCGCAACACAACGCACGACGCCAGAGGAAACAACTCCCGACAATTGGAACAATAGTCAGGACGGACGGCGCTGCATACTACTAGTTCTACTGCTCCGACAGTTCACACGAGGTACACCGAACGCAACTACACGGTCAGTTACGAAATTTTACTATGGCCAGCAGATCATTGAGGAGCCGTACTGTGGAGGCTCAAGAGGTGAATAAGGAGTTAGTGGCAGGGGAGCGAGACCCCGCAAACGCAAATTATCCCCCCCTTATCTTAGGCAGCGCGAGTGAGACTCCAGAAAAAGACACAATGCGACCTCAAGAAGCAGAATTAGGGACGCAGAGCCAGGCCAACGGAG